GCTGACCAATTCATTTCATCAAGTTCCTCGAGATATTCATACACTTCCTGTGAAAGAACCAATTCCAAGTATTTGATAATTTCTGGTCACTTCCTTTCTATTTATGATTGGTTAGTTGCACAAACACCAAAAGTGATTGGTGCATTCAAACTATTAAACAGGAAGTTTACAATTATACTAGGAAGTGTATGAAGATCTCGAGGAACTTGATGAAATGAATTGGTCAACCCGAGGTAATGTATTAGAGACCTTAAGATTGACGTTTACGGCAAAAGTCAAACCGCTAGCGAGGTGTTTAATTTTACAACTCTATTATTATGGCTTTTACACCAGTTTTGAAATATGTTAAACTTATTAAACTTGTGCTCTTTAGCAATGATTTAAGAAAGCAAATTAACCACTAGTCATGCCATTCACCAAAGCAGTAAATTAAGATTTGGCGTTTGAAGTTGACGTTTGGCGTATAAATTTCATGCTTTAACTGCTACGAGGGCTTGTAGTCGTTAAAGCATGAAATTTATACGCCAAACGTCAACTTCAAACGCCAAATCTTAATTTACTGCTTTGGTGAATGGCATGACTAGTGGTTAATTTGCTTTCTTAAATCATTGCTAAAGAGCACAAGTTTAATAAGTTTAACATATTTCAAAACTGCATGGTGTAAAAGCTATTATAAAAGAGTTGTAAAATCAAAAACCTCACTAGCGGTTTGACGTTTGCCGTAAACGTCAATCTTAAGGTCTCTAATATTTGAGCAACACTTCAATTGGAACGACAGTAAGCAAAACAGCCCGGTAAGTAAGATCTCGCTGCGTAGTTATTTTTATAGTAAAAATTATCATGCGTTTATATGCACAAGCGGGCTGGCCCGGTTGCCGAGATCTCGTTTGAAAGAGGCAACTCAGGCTAGATCTCGCTTACCTGGATGGAAATTTCTCCATATAAACATTTACAAGCGGGCTATCCCGGTTGCTGGGATGAAAGTTAAAAAATACCGCCGCAAGTCATTTTTAACAACTGTCAAAACAATACAATGTAACAAAATTGTCCCGGCAAGCGGGATGAAAGTTTCTCATATAAACACAAGAGAAATTCATCCCGCTTACCGGGCTGCCTCGCTAAGCGGGCCAGCCCAGCTTCCACATAAACAGGCCCTTAATTGACATATGTTCCTCAACCAATTCAGAAGAATCCAAATTTTCCACATATACAATCTCACTAACATTTCTCATTTTCGGTACACAGAACACAAGTTGGGGATAACTTTTCATCAGTCGTTGCTTGAGTTTAAAAGCTCTATATCTAGATGCATCCACATTCTTAGTGTCCTTAGCAATGATAAAAAATTTCTCCAGCAAATCTTTCATATACTTTATTTGCTTATTTCTGATGACCTCCATCTCAATCACTTTCTTACAGAATACATCATAAAACCTCTTGTACACTGATACTCTCGTTGCTTCTTCGTCTCTCTGGCGAAAAATTTTGTATAATTGCAGTAGCAAACTTTGCGATAGCGGATTCCCAGAGATACACAGTCTTTCCCCTGGATTTGTATGAGTATCTGTTGATCGTTCTTTCTCTCAGCAGCTGTACGTAGAAGACCAGCATCAATTGTTTCTGCCAACATGAGTGGGGTTCTTCTTCTCTTCTTAGTTACCTGGTGTGAAACAAAATAAATTATTAAACTAAATATCTGCTAATAACAAGGTTGGATGTTTGTAGCATAGAAACTACTTTACCCTATATAAACTAAATTGATCACAATTCAATATATTTTAAAACCAAACCTGAGAATGTTGTGCACATTGCGCTAGTATTATACCTATCAAAATACCATACCTTGTCTAGTGAGAACCATGAGGCGTCTCTTCCACAAATATTACATATCTCTGGGAGTACATGCGCGTTTCTTTTAGGCAGGGCCTTTATATTTATAGCTTCTGCGACTGATTGATGTATATTAATTTTTCGCCTTGGTTCTATTGCCTCCACTTCCACGTGTGATTCTTCGGTAGAAGTTATAGTTTTAGAGCTAGTTCCTTCTCCTTATTCTTCTTTTCTCTGTTATCTACGGATCTTCGGTTCATCACAAAATCTCTTCCAGCATTTCATATGATGGTTCCATTCTAAGTTAATGGTGTCAGAGTTCTTCTCGATGTATGAATTGACAAATCCGTCATCGATGTTCTCGTACGATTTCTTAGCTATTTCAGATTGTTGACATTTAAGTTTGGCCCATTTTGACCTACACTCAAGAAATTTCTCAAGCCTTTGGTGGCGTGTAACTTTGCAAAGTTGCTCCGTACCGCTCAAAATGCATAAAACATGAGGATATTTGAGTTTTATAAATATCTTCAGCCATGTTTATTTGCATAACTGTCAGAGCGTGTTTCCACTTCGAAGCATGTGCGTTGGTTGTGCGCGTGCGCAGTGCGAGTTTGGCTGAGTTGCCCATGCGTATAACACCGCGGAAAAACGTCTGCGCATGCACCAAATTATGAAAATATGGCGGGTAATTTGAATGTCAATTTCTAAAACAAAAACATGCTTATTAATTGGTCAAAAATTAGTAAAACAAACGAGAAAATATAGCAAATGGGTAGACTAGACATTAATTGAAAGCGTCCTGGCATTTAAAGTATGGAATGAAATATAATTCATGTAAAAAATTGTTGATTTTAACGGACACGACTTCGAAAATTTTTGCAAAATTATTCAAAACAAAAATTCAAACTAAAAAGTTAAGAAAACTCTCGAAAAGTTAAGCTTCTTAACCCACTCAAATTGTAGAATAAATCCTATAGTTTAATTATTGTGAACACGAAAACTTTTTATATTTGGCGACATAGTTTTTTTTAAAGAAATGTATCTCAAACGAAAATTCGGAAATTGTCGTTGCTTAGTTGATAAACAAAATGTTTCAGACGATAAATTTGTCAACAATCACCTTTAGTTCATGTTCTTGTACAATACAATTTCTTGAACCTTCTGGCTGTATTTATTCCTAGTTTTTAGAATGACATGTTTATTTTCGCGCTCGAAATCTGGCTGTAAAGACGCACAATGAAGTCACTCCTTTTTACCGCCATTTTGAGCCTTCGGAAACGTTCGGAACAGCTTCTCATCAAGTTCGCAATACTATTACAGGTAAGGTTGACGCTTGCGCAGACGTTTTTCCGCGGTGTTCATGCGTATTTGCTATCAAAACAATGGCGGTTCGAATATTTCGAAGCGCGAAAATATCAAACTTTGGAGGGATTTTTCTCCCAATTGTGCACCTGTTTCGCTTGGGGAGCAACGGATTCTGATAAAGTAAGTTTTTATCTATTTATTCATGTGAAAATTACGTAGTTCCACGAGGGGTGCAACGGAATCCGTTTTCTAAGCATCTTTTGGATGCTCATCCCACGGCCTATAGCAGCCAACAGCCAGTCTATTGTAAATTGCCGCAACCTCGTACCCAGGGCTTCTGCGCATATTGCTCTCAGAAGCCCTGGGAGAATCCAACTCAGAACGTGAGTTGATTGGTCAATGCGAATACAATGAAAGTACCAAAAGTTATTCATTAACTCAAAAACCATGTCCAGCGCAGACAAAATTAAAAAAAGTAAAGTAAAAAACAAATTTCGAAAAGACAAGACATCTTGAGAATACAATAATTATATGATTCAAAGATAAGACATCTCAAAGTCATCTTCAGACAGGATGAAATACAATAATTTACAACATATATATATATATATATATATATATATATATATATATATATATATATATATATATATATATATATATATATATATATATATATATATATATATATATATATATATATATATATATATATATATATATATATATATATATATGTATGTATGTATATATATATATATGTATGTATGTATATATATATATATGTATGTATGTATGTATATATATATATATGTATATATATATATATATATGTATATATATATATATGTATATATATATATATATATATATATATATATATATATATATATATATATATATATATATATATATATATATATATATATATATATATATATATATATATATATATATATATATATATATATATATATATATATATATATATATAGTATATATATATATATATATATATATATATATATATATACTATATAGTATATACAATATAGTATATACAATATAGTATATACTATATATATATATATATATATATATATATATATATATATATATATATATATATATATATATATATATATATATATATATATATATAATTTGTTGTGGACAACATACTTGGATAATAAATATATAGATTTTGAACGTAAAAGATACAGCCTAAACCCAATTTATATGGTCTTGGTAGACCTGACTATACCCCAAACAACAATAAACTTCATCAAGTATAACGCATTCAAGATGCAGTACCATTTCTGGCTATTACTAGGTAGACATATTTCGGTCTAATGCCTAGCAAGCTTGTATATATTTAGCAAACATAGCATTAGAATGTATTCCCTCCACTCGTGAGCTTTCAAACTATTGTCACATATAGTTTGACTGCAGGCCTTGTGACCCTGCATGGACACTTAGAAGGAAGAAATACACATACACAATGATTAAAAGATTTTATTCATACATTACATGTCTGAATGACCATGACTTTATTGAAACTATAAAAACAGGTTCAAAGCTCCCGCGCTTTGCAAACATAACAATATACAATAACATACCAACAAGGCACAGCCATCTGCTAGGTGGAATTTGCTAGATAAGCGATATATAAATAATTTGTTGTGGACAACATACTTGGATAATAAATATATAGATTTTGAACGTAAAGGATACAGCCTAAACCCAATAATATAAGCTATCGAATAAGCTATCGAGTCAACGGGGATTGGTAGCGAGCTTATCCAATTTAAGTGCGCGAAATATTTTGAGTATACTACAAAGGAGTTTCTTCATTTTGCCTAAAAATGTTGCCGATTTCGTTTAGCTTTGTTTATTAATTTGTAAAATTACTCTTACGCTATGAAGGTTTGTTTTCAGATACGAAATAATGACTAACTGTTGGAAAGTTGATCCAAAACATCGTCCCACATTCTCAGAAATATGGCAGGATCTTAATGACATGCTGAGTGATGATGAGGTATTAGTAATAATCACATTTTAAGTTCCTGCCTGTTCTCCACACACGTTGATATATTAGTAAAAGCAAATTATCCGGTAATGTGTGCCGGCAGGTTGCCCTCCCCCTACAAAACTACATGCTAATTTTGCAATTGGTGACAAAATAGCTTTCCAATCTATGTGTCTCACCTTTCAATGTCACTGATAGTCTGGGCATTTTACTGCGCGGCCATCGTTTGTGATATACCCATAAAACGAAAGAAACAGAACATCTCTACTTTGAACCTCCTGCACAGCTTTAATATATACTGGTTTATCTAAATTTTGTTGTGTTGAAATATACATTATAAAAATATTTAATAACCCACTTTTCTGGTCATGGCTTTTATACTCAACCAAATGCATATAGTTGGTAACACACATGGGCTGACACTGATAGCTTTTAAAGCAGGCAACTACTGTCTTGGAAATTAATTCGTAGACTATTGACATTTTTAAATTTCCCTAAATCCCAAAACATGTCATCCTGTCAGTAATCACGGTTTAAATTAAACCAATATTCTGCTGGGGAGAGGATGGGTACAATTTGAATCGATTGTGGATTTTGTATTAAAAAAATCATTAATAATTCAAAACTCGTGAATAATCAGGAGGAATAGACAAAGGAAATCACTACCGTGTCGATGGTTCATTTGTGATAGAATGTCATGTTAATTTACATATAAGCTTCAGCTTTGTTTTTCTTGGCTTAGACAACGTTTGTTCTTCTAAGATTATATATAGAACTTCGCCAATGAACTTATAAAATGAGTCGTCTTTTTGAAGCCATTTTTTAAAACACACTCGTGGTCCGCGCCATTTACCAGATAATAATATAACACTGACCTGTCGCCTCGTGTATTATCTGTGAGAGCACTCCTGCTCGTGTTTCAAATAGTACTTCAACCACTCATTAATAATTCATATAAGCTTATTGACAAATCATGTCAAACATAATATGTCACGTGCAGTGGCTTTACACCTGATAAAACACTCCTAATTAGTATTCTTTATATAAAGAATACTAATAAAGCCGTATCTATTGTAGTCGTGTCCTCTTTAGTATATTCTTTCTGTAAAGAATATTAAGAAGGCGGTATATCCATTGAATTTGTAGTCGTATTTGAAGCCGTTTCATAAACTCTCAGGTCGTGTTTTATTAGGTCTAAAGTCACTCGCGCTGCGCGCAAGATTGCATTTTGTGTTTTAATTCTCTGCTTTTAACATTTTCTCTTGAAACTGGACCAAAATTAATAGTTATGAAATGTTATATATTCACCAGGGTATAGTTTTGACATTTATCAATGTTTATAGACACCATATATTAAAGTGTACCAAGTGAAAGAGGAAGGATTACAGACAACGACTGAACCTAGTGAGGTCAAGATGAAAGAACGACACGTGACTGCTTGAAAAGACATCAATGGTCTTCGAGTAAACTGTGCGGTCGACACAATGTTAAAATCCTAAACAGCATGTTTTCGTTACATTAATAATTACCTTGATAATAATTATTATTAATAATTATTAATAATTATTAGTAATTACCTTGTAGAGTAAACGTCACAGTAATTAACATGAAAATCGCAATTAGTGTCATGTAATTAACGTACTGTACGCAAATTAATGTAATTATATATAAAGGAAATATTACCATACAAAGCGAACTCTTCTCCGAGGCAACGGCGCTGAGCGCTGTTCCGGGCGTAAGCCCGGGGTGAGTAGTAGTAGTAGTAGTAAAACGTTATTTAACCACGCTTCCCTCATCACCCATGGATGATTTTCTTGAGGGGCGTCACACAAATTACATTCTAAAAACTAATACAAATTAAATATGAAATAGAATAACATAGAATAACAAATACGTAGATAAAAAAGTTAAAAAACCAAGACTATTCGATGCCTGACTCTGTAGCACACATTATTTTATCAAATTTTTGAAGCTACTTAAAGATTCTGTTTGCTTTGCCTGCGTAGGTAAACTATTCCATAGAACAGCCCCGCTATATCCAAAACTCTTTTTGAAATATTCAGTACGTGGTTTAGGAACTGAAAGATTTATATCAGCATTTCTGAGATTATAATTAGTACTAAGATTTATGTCCCTTGTTACAAATTTATCCTTTAAGTTCGGAGCTGAGTGGTTGTTTAATATTTTAAACATCAAGACCGATTTATTCATTTTATGTCTGTCGTTCAGATTTTTCCATGACATAGCATGGAGCAAATCTGTCGACCTGACATCATAATTGGCACCTGTCATAATTCTTGCCGCCCTATTTTGTAGTTTTTGTAATTTCTCTCTGAGCATGCTTCCACAATTATCCCATAAAGATGAACAATAGTCAAAATATGGCAGAACGAGAGAATTATATAAATTTTGTAGTGTTTCGGACGGTACAAACGGCTTTACTCTTTTGATGATTCCAATAGCGGAGCCAACTTTCCTACATATTGTGTCTATATGGTTTTCGCAGCTCATTCTTTCATCTAGTTCTACTCCCAGACATGGAAAAGAGGAATATCGAGTAACCGGTTTATCATTTATCATAACCTGTTCATTACCAACTTTGTTTTTTAAATTATACGGTGATCCTATAAACATTGCTTTTGTCTTTTTTGTGTGAAGTTTCAATTATTTCGAGAGAGCCATTTGACTATATTTTCTAAATCCTGATTAAGTTTGGTTACCAGTTCGGAGAAACTTGCGGAAGATGCATATATTTGAGTATCGTTAGCATACATGCCAGGAGTTGTGTTTTTCAGACATTCTGGCAAATCATTTATATATATAGTAAAAACATGATGGGTCCCAAGATAGATCCCTTTGGAACTCCGCATACAATTTCCTTAGCCAACGATGTGTGGCTATCGACAACACAAACTTGGCTTTGTTTCGTCAAATAGGATTGGAACCATTTTAGCTCAAAATCTTGAACACCAAACTGGTCTTGCATCTTCCTTAATAGGATTGTATGATCAATAGAGTCAAAGGCTTTCCTAATATCAACTGAAATTAATCCGGTTATTTCTCCATTATCCATATTTTCAAACCAATTGTCACTCATTTCTATTAATAAGGACAGTGTCGAATGTTTGGACCGGAAGCCCGATTGAAAACGTGAAAGTAGAGAATTGTCTATCAGATATTGATAGAGCTGTCCAAATATCTCTTTCTCAAATAATTTGCTGATAATGGGAAGAATAGATATCGGCCGATAGTTTTCACATTTCGTTCTATCGTCTGTTTTATAAACAGGTATTACCCTAGCTCTTTTCCAATCATCAACATATATCCCAGTAGAAATTGAGAGATTAAATATATAGGTCAAGGATGGGGCAATAATATCGCAAGATAATTTCAGCATTTTGGCTGGTATTCCATCAGCCCCGGTAGCCTTGGATACTTTCAGATTTTTCAGGTTTTTTAGAATATTGGATTCAGTAATTGTATGGAAATAGAATTTTGAATTTTCACCAATTGAATTACAATGCATGTCTTCATAATCCGAAAGACGTCCACATTCAGCAGCGAGTGTTGGGCCAATATTAACAAAATAGTCGTTTAAGTGTTCAGCTACAGATCATTATATATTATGCCATTAATATTAATTTCTGCAATGTTAGATGATTTCCCACCTTTGGCCAATAGGGTGTTTATCAGTGACCATGTTTTTTTCATGTCTTTAGCTAGGGAAAATTCCTTAATTCTTGTTTGATAATAGACAGTTTTGGCCCTTTTCATTTCCGAGTTAACTTTGTTTCTCTCCGATTTATATTTATCCCAGTGAACCTGGGAATTATATCTCTTTGCCCTCTTTTTATGATAGTCTCTGGATCTTATTAGTTTTTTAATATTGGAATTTATCCAGGAAACAGAATTGTGCTTAATGCTTTTATAAATTAAGGGTGCATGTCTGTCAAGAGCTTCCAAATAAAAAGATTTCCAGACATGCCAATTGTCGTTCGGGTTCATATACTGTGTAGCTAAATACCAAGGTATTCTGGACAGTTCCTCAATAAAATAAGTTTCATTAAATATTTTGAAATTTCTAACTTTGGAACGGGTTTGCCTATATTTAGGCATGGTCACTTTTTTCACTGCAAAGATTAAACTGTGATCTGACATTCCCAAATCAATAACACCACTATTGGAAATGTTATTGGGTTGATTGGTGAACACTAGATCAATTAAAGATGATGATGTGCTTGTGACCCTAGTTGGCTCCTTGATCAATTGCTCTAAGTAATATAATGGGCTCAGAAATATTAACTTTTTGGTACTGGAGTCTTTTGGTGTCTTAATATATTACAATTTATGTCACCAATAACAATCGACTCCTTACTTTCAGCATCACATTTACTAAGAAATATTTCAAAGAAATCAAATAATTTCATCTCAGAGTTGGGCGGTCTGTATCATGCACTAATGAGAAATGGCCTACTTCGTGGTTTACAAATCTCAATACAAATCATTTCAAGATCATCTGAATTTAAATCCTTCCGCTCATAGAAGGAATATATCTCTCGAATATAAACAACCACTCCACCCCAAATCTATTATGATCTTTTCGAATCATATTATATCCTGGGATACTTATTTCACTATCTTTTACTGAATTATCAATTTTATATTCGTTTATAGCAAAAACGTCAATTTCAGAATCGGATAACATCAGTGGAAGTTCATCAACATGTCTTAAGAGACTATTAATACTTAAACTTGCTATTTTCAGCCCCCTTAGTTTTTTAATTTTATGCAAATAAGAGTCTTTTTTACCTTCAGAGTCAGGCATCGTATTGTTTATCGATGAGTTCGCTTCTTTGACGACTGGGGCATGATCATCCTTAACAGCTTTATAATTGTCGAAGTTCGTTCGGAAAACGCCCAGCACTTGATCGTGAGCTAGCTCCTCTAATACATTTAATGAAGTGAACAGCCAGTAGCGCCGAACCTTTCGCATTAGGATGTAGCTTGGACCCATTCAGGCAAGTCGCATCTATGTTCCCATTTTCAATATAGGTATAGCCCTCTTTTGAGCATAGATACTTTAATAACTCATTCGTTTCTTGTGTCTTTAATGTTACATCAATATCCTCTCTCGTTATAAGGCTGGATATCGCGATTCTAGCTTCCTTAAACGTGCTCTTTTTTCTGGAACTTAGAAGCTGAATACTATCGAAGCATTCTTTGCTAGAGTCGGTGATTATGTTGTTAGTACCAGCGCGTATAATTACTTCTGTGGGAGGAGAGTGGACATGGGCCGATTGAAACTCGTTTGCAATTTCTTCTGCTCTCTTACCAGGATATGTTAACTTACGAACTGAGCTTTTTGAAAGTTTGTGTGGATTTATATCTTTAATCATTGAATCACCAATTAGCAAGATGTTAGGTTTACATTTGCCATCTTTAAATTTTCCACCTACATCAATAGGGTTTTTTTCATCCTTAGATATTGTAGTTGTGTATCGTATACCGGGTCTTTATGTTGTCTAGCCTCTGATTGATACAGATCTGATGCAGATTTGTTTACTTCTTCTTCGTGGTCACTAACGCTGAGAACTTCGAACTGGTTCTTTGACTCATATGATATAGTTGTATTTGGTGTTATGGATACATTTTCTCTACGTTTTTTAACTTTTGCAATTCTCGCTTTTCTCTGTTGCTCTTATCAAGGTCTTCTTGTAGCGTTCTTGCGGCGAGTGTACTAATTCCGCTGGCTATTTACACCGGCTATATGAGAGCATATTGAAGGGCAAAACTTGTGCATGGGGAGTACAAGCTCTTGCTAAAGACGCAAAAGATATAATTATATTGTGCAAAGATGCATACTTTGCCGTTTTACAGTATAGCTATTTTGCAATTGTTTCGATTTTAACTGGAAACAGGCCTGTAGTTTTATGAATTACTGGCTGCCAATAGTGAAACAACGTTTGAAAAACGACACGAATTTTGTTGAAGATGAATTAAGTTAATGTTTTAATAATTTAATTGTTCTTTTGGCTATGTTTTGGTAAGTGTAATTGTGTTAACAATTCAGTGGTATGATTCCATTCCGTATTTGCTTTGCGTTGTCGATTTATTTCGTTCGAAATTTTTAAATCATTCTTAACTCAATAAATATTGGAGTATCATATGAGGAACGATATCATAAATGTGACGACGAGTGAGCGCAACGAACGAGGGACATTTACGATATCATCCTGAAACCGATAAATCTGATATCACCTCGCCCCGATTATGTGCATGCCAGATAACCTATTTCTTATATAGCTACTTATGCCTTTATCAGGGTCAGAATACAAAATTAAATGCAAAATAGTCATTTAAATATAAAACTTGTTCAACATTTATTAACACATCAAAATACAAAATATTAAATAGAACAGTAATATTCAACATTTTTCTAATATTTAAAAAAAACGTGAATTTATGCAAATACTGTAGATATTCAGTTAACAGATAGAACGTATATAACAAAAAAAACAAAGAAAGAATAATTTGTCTTCGACGTCAATTAATTATCGTCGCATTAATCGGACACAAGTACCTCTTTTAAAAATAGTTTGATTAGCCGCAGGTGACTTTCTGTTTTCCTTTTGTATTATCATTTTTCTTTCCTTCGTTATAGCAGTCAAAATCGATTATTATACCACCAACCTAGAACCAGTCGTTTTTGTTTTTAGTCCGATCGGACAGCGACAAATATAGCGGGGCAAAAAGCGATAGCTGTGAGAAAAACCGATATCAGTGACATATGGTTTTTATGTCACCCTGATAAAGGCACAAGGATGTGCACGTGATAAATAATAATACGTTTTTATGAAATTGCAATGATTGTAATTGTTGAAATGAGACAATTAATCCAGCGCATTGTGATTTTATGTGCT